ACTTGTTGCTGAAATCAACAAGTGCATTGCGAGAGCTGCAGGTTTTGTATCTCTATACATTAAGAATGTGCAACAGCACCCTAAGTGAGAACAGCAAATTGAAAGTCTACCAGTCCTTTGTTTTCAGCGTACTGCTTCACAGTAATGAAACCTGGAGAGTGTGAGCTGGATTGAAAGCTTGTAGTACCTCACGTATCATTAGCATCTCTTGCAGGACAGTTAGCAACTCAGAAGTCCTGGAGCATGTGATTTCCACAGGATACATTCATTAAGCCAACAACATTGTGATGTTTCAACCACGATCATTGGATGATCCTCCCTTATGGTGAAGTGGCCACTGAATCATGATCTGCTGGATGACCTTACCTCTACTACAAGGATTTTTTCAAGCAATATATAAAGATGTCATACATTGATACAGACAACAGGGAGTTAGTCATTGACAACCATGACCCCTGGCCAGAGAATCATTGGAAGAGGTGAGTAGTAAAGGACAGCTTAGCTGGCCAAAGAAAACAAGCCAGAAAGTCCAACACCTTCTCAGCTCAATGTCTTCCTCCTCAGCAAATGCCATGCCAGAACGGAGCACCTAAATCACACAGCTGATGTTTAATACAGATCTTTCTAACAAAGTTCAAACTATCATCTAATGAGAAGGAACGCTGCCAAAGAGACAGAAAAATCACACACAGCAATGAGATAAATTACCAGATGTTAAGCAAACTACTGGGTAAACATCCCAGATCTTTCTGGAGGAGTATTGTAGGAACCTTTATATCCATTGAAGGGGAACGTTGTAACTCAGTTTAATTCCTCATCTGCAGATTGATCACCTTTAACAGTGTAGCACTCCCTCCTTAGAATTGCACTTAAGTATGGGCCTAGAATGAAGTTTAAATCTCTGACGTGATTTGGAGGAAAAATCGTTATTCATTAGGATTGACTAAAGTGGAATGCACTGCAGTTTGATACTCATCTAACCTACAGAAGCAGCAAATGCTAACATGAGCTGCAAAAAAACTGACAGGACTAGGAGTCCTGAATAAATTCATTGATCCCATACTCCCAGTAGGGACCTATACTTGAAGCACAGACTGGAGATAAAATCACCAACATTGTTTTGCCATTTTCTGACTCTCAGTCCCTTATACTGGTATCGACACGTTGTTTATTGTGGCTGAAATTACCCTTAGGAGTAATCTGAAATTGTAAGTTATCCAACAATCCATCAGTGATATTGCAAGGGGATATCTAAGTACTGGGTACTTCTGACCTTCAAGCCCGCCAGGTGAAAGGGTTACTCATAATTAAATATTTATAATTATCTCCATAATATTGCTTATTTCTGCCCCTGTCTCAATCCATCTGATGCTGAAACCATCCTCAATGTTACTTGTACCTTCTATAAATGTCAACTCATTCATACTCCTATATCCATATTTGCTCCAAGTCCCATTCTGTCAACACCTGTTTTTCCCACTTACAATGACTGTTTGGTTTAGTAATGTTTTGTTTGTAAAATTCCCATCTTTGTCATAGAATATTTACTGGACAAAAGGAGTTCATTTGGCTCTTCAAGTCCATTCCGCTACTGCATAGAGCGTCGAGTCAGCCCCATCTCCTTACTCCATCCCTGTAGCCCTGTGTTGGTGTTTCAATCAAATACCTATCATAATTTCCTTTGAAATCAGTCATCTTGGCTCCCACTACCCTTCTTAGTGAGTTAGTTCCACATCGTTACCACTTACTGCTAAAAACGTACTTTCTGACATCCCCTATTGCATTTGTTCCCCAAATCTATGTCCCCTAGGTGTTGTGTCATCAGCCAATGGGACCAATTTTTCTACGTCTACCGTTTACAAACCTGTCATAACCATGAACAGCCCTATCAAAATCATCCCTCAGTCTCATTTGCTTCAGGAGAACAATCTGGATTCTCTAACTTTGTCACTAAAATGTCATGAGCACAAATGAGCATAGTATTCTAGTTGTGCCTAACCAGAGCGTCATAAAGGTTCAGCATAACTTCTGTGCATATATACTCAAGACCTCCACTTAGGAGTCACAAGATCCAATACACTTTGCTAACCATTCTCAATATGTTTTACTACCTTCAGAGAACTTTGCATGTGACCCCTGAAGTTCCACATTACACCCTTTAGGACTGTACCCTAAGTCTCTATTGCATCGCTCAAGCCTTTCCTTTAGAGTACACTGCTATGCAAATGTCAGTAGTAGGTTCTGTCTGCCACTTGTCTCCTTATTCTGCTAACCTATCCATGTCAATTATTATCATCCTGACTTTTTGCTACACCTTCATGTTTGGTATAATTTTTGTATTCTAATATCCACATCATTTATATGTTATTGGAAAGGGAGTGGTCCTATCACTGACCCCTCTGGAACCCCACTGTCTACCACCTTTCAGTCTGAAAAGCTACTATTCACCGCAACTTGCTATTTTCAATCCTTAATCTAACATTGACCCTCCTCTTCCGTGAGCCTCAGCTTTTTAGATGGTGTTTTGACAAAAGTTTCTTGTAAGTTCATACGGACATCATTTGTTGGATCCACTTCATTAACCTTCTCTGTTACTTCATCAAAAAATTCAGTTAGGTTAAACCAGCCATGATGTGCGTTTTATAAATTTGTGCTGAATCTCCTTAATTAACTCAAATTTCTCCAAGTGTTTGTTTCTTTTTCCCCCTGATCATTGATTCTAAAACCATATCCACCACTGATGTTGAATAATTAGCCTATAGTTACTAGATATAAGATGTATGTTTGCTGCTCTCGAATCCTTCGGCACTGCAGATGTGTTTAGGAAAGATTGGAAGACTATGGCAGGCCCTCGCGTTACCTCCATTCCTTCGGCAACATGCGCTGTAAGACATTCAGGCCAGGTGTCATATCCATTGAGCATAGCCAACCTTTCCAGGACCCCTGCCTAACAATTTTCACATCATAGGCCACCTCTGCCATCTCTGCTTCAACCAATATTTTGTTAGTGTTCTCTTCCTTAATAAGTACTGATACAAAATATTGTGCTTATTAAGCATTCTAGTTTTGGCCTGCACCTTTTAGTATTAATTACTTTAGTATTAATTACTTTCTCTGTTCCTAATAGAACCCACCTCACCTCTCAAATGTTTGCTTCCTATTTGCATACCAATTGAAGATTGTTTATTTATCTTGACTGAGTTTCCGTTCTCATATCGCTTTACCAGTCTTATTTTCCTCTTCAATTTTCCTGTCAAGGATGCACCGTAGAAAACATCCGGGTGCATTACAACTTGGTATGGCAACTGTTCTGCCCAAGACTGCAAGAAATTGCAGAAAGTTGTGATCACAGCCCAGTCCATCACTAAAACCAGCTTTCCTTTAATTGACTCCATCTAAATTTCCCGCTGCCTCGGGAAAGTAGCCAGCAGAATAAAAAAACCCGTCCCACCCTGGTTATACTCTCTTACACCCTCTTCCATTGAGCATAAGATACAAAAGTTTGAAAACGTGCCAAAAGATTCAAGAACAGCTTTTTCCCCGCTAGTCCAGACTTATGAACAGACCTGTCATATATTAGAGTTGATTTTTCTCTGCACCTTCTCTTTAGCAGTAACACTATATTCTGCATTCTACTGTATACCCTGATGGACTTATGTTAGGTATGATTTGTCTGGATAGCTTGCAAAACAGTACTTTTCACTCTATCTTAGTACATGTGATAATAATAAATCAAATCAAATTGATTTCACATGAATAATTCATCTGACATGCATTTTAAATCTCATTTTTTGTTTCATTATACTTTATCTCCCTTATCATCCAAAAAAGCCCTGGCTTTGGTTCCTCTACCTTTTATCCTTGTTGGAATATGCCTACCTATACCTGACACATGTATTGCTTAAAGATCATTAATTGTTCTATTCCAGTTTTTCCAGTTTGTTATTGGCTCCATTCAACCCTGGCTCATTCCCCTCCTTTGAAATGAGCCGTCTTCTAATTTAGAAGTTCCAATTAAGATTGTTCCTTGATCTCTTTGATTACTAATCTAACCCTTACCTAAAGATCACTCTTATCCAAGTGTTGCCTTTGGACATTTTGGCTGCTTGGCCCACCTTATTCCCTACCACCAGATCCATCAATACCTACTTTCTACTTGGACTGAGAACATATTCATTAAGGAAATTTTCTTGAACACATTTCAGAAATTCCTCCCCCACTTATCCCTTGACTTTACTCTTATCCCAATTGAAATTTTGGTAATTAAATTCATTAAACATCACCGCTGTATAGTTTTTATGTATCTCTTGAATCTTCCTACAGATTTCCTCCTCTATCACTTTCCTGCTATTTGGAAGTCAATAGAATATCCCCAGTAAGGTGATAATCCATTTCTTGCTTCTTAACTCTGTCCAAATGAATTCTCTTCTAACCCCCTCAGGGCATCCACTCTTTCTAAAACTGCAATTGTATCCCTAATCAGACCTACCACTATATTCTCTTTTATTCAAAGTTTTGGCAAGATCTGTAGCTTGGGTTGTGGGTGAGGTTATTGACTTGGTCACCGAGGTGGCTTGTTCTAATTCAGACATTTCGTCACCATGCTAGGTGATATCATTAGTGGAGCCTCCAATGAAGCAATGTTGTTCTACTCTGGTTGGAATTTATACTGTTTGTCTGTTACGGTGAGTAGTGTCATTTCTGGTTTTGATCAATGTGGGTTTGTATATGGGATCCAATTCAATGTGTTTGTCGATAGTATGGTATTTTGTAACCACGTTGGTTCTGCAAATTGTGAGAAGGGGGTCTTTAATCTTTAATTTAAAAAAAGACCCCATTCCCACAACATGCAGAACCAACATGGTTTATAAAATATCATGCAACAGCTGCCACAAACGTTACGTCGGACAGACAGGAAGGAAACTAGCCATCAGAATACACAAACATCAACTGGCAGCAAAACGGCACGACAAACTCTCCTTAATATCTGTATACTCGGACAGCTAAGGCCATCGGTTTAACTGGGACAAGATAACCTTAGTGGCCCAAGCCAAACATAGACATGCAAGGGAATTCCTAGAGGCATGCTACCCGTAATGCAATCAACAAACACATAGAATTGGACCCTATATACAAACCCATACAGATCAAAACCGGAAATGACACTTCTTGCCATAACGGACCAAACAGTATAAATTCCAAGCAGAATGGAATAACACCGCTTCATCGGAGGCTCCATTGATGATGCCTGAACAAGAACAAGCCAGCTCGGTGAGCAAGTCAATTACCTCATTTCTCTTTTATACCCACCATCTTTTCTAAACACTTTGTACCTTGAATATTAAGTGTACAGCCCTCACTATATTGTTACTACATCACATTCCAACATGACTATTTCTGTTGGCAGCTCTCTAACGGTGTTCATCATCCTTTGTGCATTTACATACATGCATTCTAAACCTGGTTTTACAATTCTGTGGAAGGGTCACTGAATCCAAAATGTTAACTGTGATTTTTCTTCACAGATGCTGCCAGACCTGCTGAGCTTTTCCAGTGACTTTTGTTTTTGTTCCTGGTTTTACGTTCCTCATATTTCTTAGAAGGTGATGGTAAGCTGCCTTCTTGAACTGCTACAGTCTATATGCTGTAAGTAGATCCATTATGCCATTGGCGAGGGAATTCAAGGGTTTTGGCCTAAAGACGTTGAAAGAATGATGATATATTTCCAAGCCAGGATAGTGAGTGACCTGGAGGAGAACTTGCAGGTGATGGTGTTCCCATGTATTTAAAGCTGTTGTCATTTTAGATGAAAGTTGTCATGGGTTTGTAAAGAACTGTCTAAGGAGTCATAGTGAATTTCTGCCGGGCATCTTGTAGATAGTACACATTGCTGCTGCTGAGTATTGGTGGTGGAGGGTGTAAATTTTTGCGCATGTGGTGCAAATCAAGTCAGCTACTTTGTCCTGGATGGTGTGAAGCTTCTTGAGTGTTGCTGGAGCTGCACTCAACCAGGCAAATGGGGAGTATTCCCTCACACTCCTGACATTTGCCTTGTTGATGGTGTACAGGCTATGGGGATATGGAAAGTGAGTTATTTGCTGCAGGATTCCTAGCCTCTGATCTGCTTTTGTATTTATATGGCCAGCCCAGTTCAGATTCTGTTCAATGATAACAACCAGCATATTGATAGTGGGAGATTTAGTGATAGTAACACTATTGAATGTCAAGGGATGATTAGCTTCTCTCATTTTGGAGATTGTGATTGCTTGATCTTTGCATGGTGCAAGTGTTAGTTGCCACTTTTCAACCCAAGCCTGGATATCGTCTAAGTCTTGCTGCATTTGGACATGCATTGCTTCAGTATCTGAGGAGTCACGAATGGTGCTGAACATTGTACAATTTTTGGTGAACCTCACTTTTGACGTTATGATGAAGTGAAAGTCATTGATGAAGCAGTTGAATATGGTCAGGCCCAGGACAGTACCCTGAAGAGCACATGCAGAGATATCTTGAAGCTGCAATGACTACCTCCAATAACCACAATCATCTTTCTTTGTGCTAGGTATGACTGCAACCAGCTGAGAGCTATCCCTCTGGTTTCCACTGACTCAGTGTTTACTGTGGAGAAGGATATGGAAGATAGAGAATGTGGGGAAATAAACAGCGACATCTTTAAAAATGTCCATATTACAGAGGAGGAGGTGCTGGACTTCTTAAAATGCATAAAGGTGGATAAATCCCCGGGACCTGATCAGGTGTACCCTAGAACTCTATAGGAAGCGAGGGAAGTGATTGCTGGGCCCTTGCTGAGATTTTTGCATCATCAATAGCCACAGGTGAGGTGCCGGAAAACTGAAGGTTGGTTATCGTGGTGCCACTATTTAAGAAAGGTGGTAAGGAAAAGCCAGGGAGCAGTAGACCAGTGAGCCTGACATCGGTGGTGGGCAGTTTGTTGGAGGAAATCCTATGCCCGCTAGTTTTGGACTGCCCTACCCTGGGGAAAAGACCTTGTGTTTTTACCCTATCTGTGACCCTCTTGATTTTATAAACCTCTGTAAGGTCACCCCTCAGCCTTTGATGCTCCAGGGAAAATAGCCCCAGCCTATTTAGCCTCTCCCTATAGCTCAAACTCTCCAACCCTGGCAACATCCTTGTAAGTCTTTTCTGAACCCTTTCTAGTTTCACAACATCCTTCCTATAGCAGGGAGACCAGAATTGCACACAATACTCCAAAAGTGGCCTAACCAATGTCCTGTACAGTTGCAACATGACCTCCCAATCCTATACGCAGTGCACTGACCAATAAAGGCAAGCATGCCAAATGCCTTCTTCACTATCCTATCTACCTGCAACTCCACTTTCAAGGAACTATAAACCTGCACTAAATAGACATGGTCTTTTCCCCAGGGTGGGGGGAGTCCAAAACTATAGGGCATAGGTTTAAGGTGAGAGGGGAAAGCTCTAAAAGAGGCCTAAGGGGCAATTTTTTCTCACAGAGGCTGGTGCATGTATGGAACAAGCTGCCAGAGGAAGTGGTAGAGGCTGGTACAATTACAACATTTAAAAGGCATCTGGATGGGCATATGAATAGGAAGGGTTTAGAGGGATATGGGCCAAATGCAAGCAAGTGAGACTAGATTTATTTAGGATATCTGGTGGAGATATCTGGAGAAGGGTCATTTTCTGAAGAAGGGTCTAGGCCCGAAACGTCAGCTTTCCTGCTCCTCTGATGCTGCTTGGCCTGCTGTGTTCATCCAGCTCTACACCTTGTTATCTCATTATCGGAGATATCTGGAGGGTCTGTTTCCATGCTGTACATCTCTATGACTATATGACTCCAGTTTTGCTAGGACTCCTTGAAGTCACACCTGATCATGCGCGTCCTTGATGTCAGGATAATGGGTCAGAGGGTGAACTGTGAAAAGGATGCAGTGATGCTTTGGTACGATTTGGGCAAGTTGAGTGTGTGGGCAAATGCATGGCAGATGAAGTATAATGTGGATAAATGGTAGCAAAAACAGGAAAGCATATTATCATCTGAATGGCAATATATTGGGAAAGGGAGAGATGTAATGAAATCTGGATATCTTTGTCAACCAGTTGCTGAAAGTAAACATGAGGTGCAGCAAACGGTTAAGAAGGCAAGTGGTATGTTGGCCTTCGTAGTGAAAGCATTTGAGTTCAAGAGCAAGGTTGTCTTGCTGCAATTGTACAGGACCTTGGTGAGACCACACCTGCACTATTGTGTGCAGTTTGAGGAAGGATGTCCCAGGTATGGAGGAAGTTCTGATTCGTGGGATGGCAGAACTGACATATGAAAAGAAACTGGATCGGTTAGGACTGTATTCACTGAAGTATAGAAGAATAGCCAGGCTCTCATAAAACCTATAAAATTTCAACAAAGCTAAACAGGGTAAAAGCAAGAAGAATGTTCCCAATGAGTGGGGACTCCAGATCCAGGGATCACGGTGTAAAGATATGGGTTAGGCCATTTAGGACTGAAATGAGGAGAAATTTCTTCATCCAGAGAGTGACGAGCCTGTGGGATTTTCTGCCAGCTAAAGCGGTGGAAGTCAAATCATTGAATGTTTTGAAAAATGAGTTAGAGATAACTCTTTGGGCCAAAGGAATCAAAGGATATGGAGAGAAAGTGAGAACTAATTGCATAATCGTCCATGATCACATTGAATGATGGAGCAGGCTCAAAAAGCCTACTTCTGCTTCTGTTTCAAGGGTTGTTACTCACATTTCACCTCTGGAATTCTGTCCAAGGCTGTAATGAGGTAAGAAATTGTGGGGCCATAACTCAACCAAACTGAGGGTCAGTGAGCACGTTATTGCTAAGCGTGCTGACATATTGACGGTTTAGCAAGTTGCTGCTGTGCAGAGACATTAAAAGACCTCATTGCAAAAAAAAATGAGACCTTGATTGTAGGAAGTATGTGATCGCAGGAGAGATCACTGTATATCTTGGCTATTAAGGGAACGTATCCTATTGACCCTCTTAACCACCTCATATACCTAGCCTTCTTGTTAATGTTCAGCTATAATAGGCATGTGCTGGCTGAACACAAATCATCACAATGAGCAGGCAGCTGTCAGTCCTTCTCTGCCTACATTCCTACCAAAGGACGTAGGTTAAATTTACACATTCTTCCCACCCACCTCCCGCTGCTCCCTTCCCCACATGTTTTCAATCCAATTCTAGCACTAAGGGTCTTTAATTTATAAAGTGACAAAGTGGAAAGTCCCGCACGCTGAAGAGTAAGAAATGTAGTGTTTAGTCATGGAAAATATTTTGTACTAGTTAACCACTGAGCTTCAAAACTGAGTCATTGAAAAACATCTTGTCATCTGTGCCAACAAATTGTACTTGAGCATCTGTGAGTGCTGTTCATTGACAACATCTGCTTCCCATTTGTTAGTAATGAAAATAAAAAGCAAAAATCTCCAAACATTAATAGAAAATGGTGATTTTCTCATTATATGAGTTGGCTATTTTAACAAAACTGAAGCAAATGATTATTTGGGAAATTAAGTAGCACCGTACACAATGTATCTGCCTTTATTTAAACTCCTGTTAGAAAGTCAGATGCTGAATTCCCCAGCCTAAATAAGTGAGGGTTTCAGTAATGTTGTTTAGAATTAGGACTAACTTTCTTCATTTTGTGACCCCACCAACATACCATTCAGTAAAAATTTCTGTCATAACCCAAGTAAGGACAAAAAAGACAAGGGGATACATGATGTGTGGTAGGAGCCTGGGAAGCACTGAGAATCAAAGAGATCTTGATGAGCATGTACATCAGTCCCTTAACGTATCAGGGCAGGTAGATAAACTGGTTAAGAAGACATCTGGGATACATACCGTTATTAACCGAGGCGTAGAGTTTAAAAACAGGGAGATTATCCTTAAACTGTATAAAACATTGGTTAGGCCACAGTAGATATTGTGTGCAGTTCTGGAATCCACAATATGGGACAGTTGTGACAGCACTGGAGAGAGTGCAGAGGAGATTTACCAGGATGTTGTCTGCGCAGGAGAGTTTCAATTATGAGGAGAGAGGATCAGATAAGGTAGTTTTCCTTAGAACAGAGAAAATTGAGACTGAACATGATTGAGATGTATCTTTTTTTAATTCACTCATGGGACATGGATGTCGCTACCAGGGCTACCATTTATTGCCCGTCTCCGATTTCCCTTGAGAGGGTGATGGTGCACTGCCTTTTTGAGCCAATGCAGCCCATATCCTGTAGATTGACCCACAATGAAATGGTTCAATACCAAGGAGTACTGATTCATCAGCCCAGGGAGGACAGAATATGTCAATTAGCACGAGGTTTCCTTGCCTGTATTTAAACTGAAGCCATGAGCATGGGGTCTGGAGTCAATGTTGAGGACTCCAAGGCAACTCCCTCTTGATTGTATATCATTGTAGCACCACCTCTGCTGGGTCTGTCTTGCAGGTGGGACAGTACATTATCCAGGGACGGTGATAATGGTGTCTGGGACATAGTCATACTCACGGAATCATACCTTACAGACAGTGTGAGGCTGTTGATTGACTGGTCCATGAGACTGCTCCCAATTTGACACTAGCCCCCAGATGGGAGTAAGGAGGATTCTGCAGGGTCGGCAGGGCTGTTTTTGTCAGTGTCTTTTCCATTGCCTAGGTTGATGACAGATGGTCCTTTTCAGTTTCATTTCTTTGTTGAGACTTCATAGTGATTGATACAACTGCATGGCTTGCTAAGCCATTTCAGAGGGCAGTTGAGAGTCAACTACATTGCTGTGGCCTTTATTTAAACTCCTGTTATAAAGTCAGAATCACATGTAGGCCAGATTAGGTGAGGATGGCAGATTTCCTTTCCTGAAGGACATTAGCGAGTCAAATAGATCTTTCCAACAATCAATAATGGTTTTATGGTCATCAATAGATTCTTAATTCCACATCTTTTTTGTTGAATTCAAATTTTCCCATCTGTCATAGTGGTATTTGAACCCAGGTCCATAGAACATTAGCTGAGTGTCTGGATTATAGTCTAGCAATAATATCACGTCCGTCTAAAATAATAGGGGTCATAAATAGAATAGAGAGGAAGACGCTTTTCCCTTTGTTGGAGGGATCATTGACCAGGGGGCATACATTTAAGGCAAAGCCAGCAGGTTTAGAGGAGATGTGAAGAAAAAAAAAACTTTCTCACCCAGAGGCTGGTGGGAATCTGGAACTCACTGCCTGTAAGGATGGTAGAGGCAGAAACCCTCATAACATTTAAGAAGTATTTAGATGTGCATTTGCAATGCCAAGGCATAAAAGACTAGGGGCCAAGTGCTGGAAAATAGAATTAAATAGATAGGTGATTGTTTTTGACTGGAGTTAATGTGATGGGCTGAAGGACCTGTTTCTGTGCTGTAGATCTCTATGTCTAAGCTGTCTTATTTGAACAGCAGTTAACTTCTCTAAAATAGCAAGCGTTTTGCAATTTTCCAGTCATTAGCAGACCACATTTCTTGGTGCCATCCACACTGCAGCAAACCAGAATGGAAATTATTGAAAGGAAGAGAACATGCTGAAAATGTTCAGCAGGTTTGGCAGCATCTGAGGGAGAAAGTGAAGTTAGCCTTTTAGGTTGATGCCTTTCATCAGAAATTCTTTCTTTGGCTTTCTATTTATCAAGCAAAGGCCAATGTGCCTTATTCAACACACATACAGAAAGCACCAACTAGTCACAATTAGGAATATCCGGGGAACAGTAGCCTTCAAGGAAGACATTTTCTATTCACAGCTCTGCATCTGGGTCCTCTAAGAAATCAGCTTTCCATGTGCATGGAGGG